TTTATTTATTCTACCCCAAAAGGTACCCATAGGAAGGGAAAAGGCAAATTTGTGCTTATCTGGCAGTAGAGACGTGTTCCTGCTGATACTTGCCCAGGATCACCTGACCCCAAGAGTTGAAGGTCACAGTGAGCTATGATGATGCCCAGGGCAGCAGAATGAGGCTCTGTCCCAAAAACAGAGAAACTAAAGAGCAGAGAAATAAATTGTGAACTCACAGTGGATACATAGCATAGGGAGACCTCTCAGCACTCATTTACTATCCACTTTTAAGAAGTGGCAGGACTGGCTGGGCACGGTGGCCCTTTAGGAAGCTAAAGCGAGAGGATCACTTGAGAGCAGAAGTTGGTAAATAGCCTGGGTTACATAGTGAGACCTATCTACAAAAAAATAAAAAAAATTAGCTGGGCATGGTGTCATGTGCCTCTAGTCCTAGCGACTCAGGAGGCTGAGGTGGGAGGATTGCATGAGTTCACACTACACTCCAGCCTAACAACAGAGCAAGATCCCATCTCAAAAAAAATCCCATCTTTACCCGTGCCTCTGGCAGAGATGTCCAAAGTCAGCTGTGTCTGGGGACTAAGTAACAGAATTAAACTGAAAGAGTAACAGGAATATTATTTTACTTTTTCCAGATTTTTATCTCACTTATACCAACCAGGACTCCTTAACCTTTTCTTGAATCTAAACCTGTTTATATATCCTCTCAGAAACTGCTTTAGAGAAAAATGAGGAAAGGACATAGTTGCAGAGCTGTGCTGGGCAGTTTGGGGACTGATTTTACTAGATAGATATTTCACACATAGAAAGAGGGAGGTGAGAAATGTTCACACACAGAAAAGATGACACACCAGAATTTTCTTTTGCACATATACTGGTCTTCAGTGATCAGGGAAGCCTTGCTCAGAGAAGGCTTCCTCAAAGAACAAGATATCTCAGCTGAATCATGGCAGACAGACAGGGAAATAGTGCCCAGAACTTAGAAAGGCCAGAAAGAGGTAGGAGATAAGGATTGCCAGAGATCAGATCTTAGGAATCTTGAATGTCACTGAAGGAGTTTCAGCAGAGCACCAGCAGCATGAGATTGTGATTTGTAGTAGAGGCTCAGTCCAGCTAGAGTGCATGCTTCACCACTGTGTTCCTGTGCATGGGTCTCGGTGCACAGGGGCTAACATATAAAAGCCAAGCAAATACTTTACAGAAAGTAGGAACAAAAGTAGTTATTAGTTAAGGAATGGATTAAAGCAGTGGTTCTCAACCTTCCTAATGCCATAGCCCTTTAATACAGTTCCTGTGGGTCCCACAGGTTGAGAACCGCTGGATTAGAGGGAGGTAAGGCTGGAAGTAGCACAGCATATCAGGAGCTCCTATTTGTTGCCAGGCACAGAAGCCTGACTTCCCAGGCACCCAGTGTCACCTTTTCAGGCGGGGGCCCAGATCTGGAACAGCACATTTTAACCTGTTTTATTGTTTTATTTTATTTTATTTATTTTTTGAGACAGAGTCTTACTATATCGCCCTCAGTAGAGTGCGTGGCATCACAGCTCACAGCCACCTCAAACTGTTGGGCTTAAGTGATTCTTTTGCCTTAGCCTCCCACAACGCCCAGCTATTTTTTTGTTGCAGTTGTCATTTTTTAGCTGGCCCGGGCTGGGTTCGAACCTGCCACCGTTGGTGTACGTGGCTGGCTCTGTAACCACTCTGGTATGGGCGCCCAGCCTCCAGAAGGATTTTAGCCTTCACGACTTTTCATCCTGACCTTCTGGGAGTTTTTGTGGTTTTTCTCCTTTTGTTTTTCTTCCTTACTTCCTCTCCTCCTTTCCCTGCCTTCCTCCCTTACTTTCAACATCCCTTCCCTTCCCTCCCCTTCTGTACCCTCCCCTCCCCATTCCCTCCTCTCCCCTCTTTCCTTCATTCCCTCCCTCCCCTCCCTGCTTGCCCTCCCCCCTCCCCCCCCATCATGTAATGAAAGGAGTGGTAAGGAAGTATAAGATGATTCGTTATGTCTTATGTCCAAGCCAGTCAGATATTAAAAAAGCCTTTAGTGAGCTTGTTTAGTAGTTTAAAGCTTTGAGCCTCACCTATAAAAACCCAGATGTAGGTTTATTAGTTGAGTTTTGGATATTTACTTCACTGGGACTTTTTCTTTTTCTTTTCTTTTTTCTTTTTTTTTTTTTGAGACAGAGTCTCCCTTAGAGTGCTGTGGCATCACAGTTCACAGCAACCTCAAACTCTTGTTTGTTTTTTCTTTTTTAATTGAATGGTAACTATGTACATTAATGCACTTCTGGGGTGCAGTGTGGGGTTTTCACACACAATCCAAAACACTTCCATCAAACTGGTTAACATAACCATCATGTCATTTTCTTAGTTATTGTTTTAAAACGTTTACATTCTACTCTTAGAAAGATTTACTTGTACCCTTGTAAGATAAACCTCAGAAGTGATCCCTTCAATCCCCCTCCCTCCACCCATTCCCTCCTCCTCTCTCCTTCTCCTGTCCCCATATTCTTAGGCTGTTACTAGGTTATAGCTTTCATATGAAAGGTATAAATTAATTTCATAATAGGGGTGTGTACATTGGATACTTTTTCTTCCATTCTTGTGATACTTTGCTAAGAAGAACATTTTCCAGCTCCAAAACTCTTGGTTTTAATTGATTCTCTTGCTTCAGCCTCCCAAGTTGCTGGGACTACAGGCGCCCAGCCACAACGCCTGGCTAGTTTTAGAGATGGGGTCTCACTCTTGCCCAGGCTGGTGTCGAACCTGTGAGCTCAGGCAATCCACCTGCCTTGGCCTCCCAAGTGCTGAGATTACAGGCATGAGCCACCACTCCCGGCCTCTTTTTTGCTGGAGGCTTATTAACACATACAGCATTTCGACCAATCATAATCAATCTTAATAGACTTAGTGTTTCATATTTCAGACACAGCAAAAAGTGCTTGTATTTATTTAGAGTTTCGATCATCTAACTTCAGTTCTATTCTTTGTGCTTGCCTAAGAGGGACCTTACATTTCCAAAATATATTACTTTGCATATTTCTTTTTCCTAAACACCAAGGCGTAATGTACCTTTCGACACACATATAGTATGATCCCAACTATAGAAAATATACACTTAAAGCCGGAGATGGAAATTGATCGTACTGCAAGTCATTTTTTTAATGGCTCAAACAAAACAACAAAAATGGACTTTAAGGCAGTATTTGTATCACCTTTTTCAGCTCAAACATTAGTGCTTGAAAGTGATACCCTGCTTACCCATGCCTCTGGCACAGATGTCCAAAGTCAGCTGTGTCTAGGGACTAAACTTCGGAAGTGATTTCTTTATCAAAGATCAAGGTGAATTGTGTGCTGGTGAATGAGTCAAATTCAATTGAGAATTGCCTGTCCTGCTCATTATCAGTAAGAGTCTTTGCTAATAGAGTAACTGTGAACATCTCTTTTTGACACTGGCATGTGGGCCAGGGTTTATCATGAAAGAAAATGGTTGAGTGGTTTGATTTATTTTGTGGTCTGATGCTATGAATGCTGTGGCAGGCAAGAACATGCTCCATAATTACTAATTATCCAAATGTTACAGGGCTTTTTAAGGTGACTAATACCCTAACTTTGTCAAGTTTGTTATCACAATTTCATATCACATATAAAAATACTTCGAGAATGTATTTATTTATTTATTTATTTTTGAGGCAGAGTCTCAAGCTGTCGCCCTATGGCATAACAGCTCACAACAACCTCAAACTCTTGGGCTTAAGTGATTCTCTTGCCTCAGCTTCCCAAGTAGCTGAGACTACAGGCACCCTCCACAATGCCCAGCTATTTTTTGTAGTTGTCATTGTTGTTTGGCAGGCCCAGGCTGGATTCGAACCCACCAGCTGTGGTGTATGTGGCTCATGTCCTAGCCACTGAGCTACGGGTGCTGAGCCGAGAATGTACTATTTTTAAATTAATAATTATGGGAATTTGATTTGTTATTGTCCGTTACTGAGAAAGTGCTTTTTTTTTGTTTGTTTGTTTGTTTGTTTTTAGAGACAGAGTTTCTATCACCCTAATTCCTGGGCTTAGGTGATTCTCTTGCCTCAGCCTCCTGAGTAGCTGGGACTACGGGCACCTGCCACAACACCCTTTTTTTTTTGAGGGATATTCTATACAGGTGTGGAGGCAGCACAGAGAAGGGAAATGGGTGAAGGTGTACATTGTCAAGGACGGGCTTTATGAAGGTCGTGCTGTCTGAGCCACAGAATAGCTATTTGCTATGTAGATATTCTAGACAAAAGAAATAATTTGTCTAGACAAGAATGTGAAATGCAAAATTGAGATTTCCTACCCACTCCCCACTCAGTGCACAGAGTAGTGCCAAAATTAATGTTGTGATACTCTAATTTTCTAGAACTTAATCATTGCTGCCTCTGCCATAATTAGAAATGTTAAAGAGGTCAGTACCTTAGGAATTGGTAAAATGCCATGACTGCATATTGGCTTGCAGGTAGCTCCTGGAACTGTACTCTCTACTTTATGACTCAGCTCACCCACATAACTGCCTTTCACTCTGTCCCTATCCATCTCTCTGTCTAAAGAAGTTTACTAATAGGTAAGGGCACTTGGTATCTGTTCTGCCCCTGGTCCTTAAAGCCCAGGTGTGCCATTTATCTACCATGTCTTAACCACTTCATAGAAACAAGAATAGGGGCAGCTTCTTTAAAACTGTAAAAACATTTTTCCACTTATCTTTTTTTGAAAGATAGAAAAGAAATAGTCCAGTGTTATCTGTTGATGTGAGGAAATAGATATTTCTGTCCAGTTGGTAAAAGTGTTATTTCTTTTATTACTAATGAGATTGGACATTTGGGGATATGTTTACTGGCCATTTGTGCTGCTTCTGTAAATTACCTGCCCATTGCCTAGACTTACTTTATTTTAAAATTAGGTTGTTGGGCTGGGCACAGTGGCTCACGCCTGGAATCCTAGCACTATGACAGGCCAAGGTGAGTGCATTGCCTGAGCTCATAAGTTCGAGACCGGTCTGAGTCAGAGGGAGCTCTTGTCTCTAAAGATAGCCAGGCATTGTGGTGGGTGCCTGTAGTCCCAGCTACTACAGAGGCTGAGGCAAGAATGACTTAAGCCCAAGAGTTTGAAGTTGTTGTGAGCTATGACAGCATGGCACTCTACCGAGGGTGACAAAGTCTCAAAAAAAAAAAAAAAAAAAGAAAGAAAAAAAATTAGGTTGTTCATTTATTTGAATTTACAAGGGATTTTTTAAATCCTAAGGATACTGACATTTCAGTTTTACTGGAGGTGTTGGCTGATGCATATAGACAAGAAAAAACCAATTGGAAGTGTGCAAATTAGAAAAGAAGTAAAACTATATTTGCAGTTGTTATAATTTATTTAGAAAACCCAAGACAATCTATGACTATTTCATAAGATAATTCTGTCAGTTAGCAAGATACAACATTAGTATAGAAATCAGTATCCTTCATATATACAAACAACAGCCAATTAAAAAGTATAATGATAGAGCAAACTTCGTTTAAAAAAACAATAAAATTTTCCTTCTTGGCTGCTTGAGGATCAAGCCCTGTCATGAACGTCACAGGACCAGGACCTGTCTGGACCAGGAAGTTTATGACTAACCAATGACTCAAGAGGAAAAAAGTGGTTACCAATGTTCCCTATTCCAAAAAGGCAGCAATACCTAAGATAGAAGTTCGGGGAAAAAGCCCAAATGTGTAAGACCACATCAAATGTCATCTTTGTATTTGAATTTAGAACTCACTTTGGTGGTGGCAAGGCAACTTGGCTTTGGCCTGATTTCTGATTCCTTGCACTATGCAAGGAAAAATGAACCCAAGCACAGACTTGTAAGGCATAGCCTGTAAGTGAAGAAAAATGACCTCAAGAAAGCAGGGAAAGGAACACAAGAACATGAACATGAAGAAAGTCAGGGGAACTACAAAGGCCAATGTTGGCGCTGGCAAAAAGCTGAAGGAATTAAGACATTCTGTAGTGATCTGCAGCCACTGTGTGGATTTTTCAAAGAGGATGAATAAACTGGAAAATTAAAAAATATATGTAAAAGCAATAAAGAAAAGAAAATACATCTAGGAATAAACTTAAGAAATATGTAAAACCTTTCTGAAGAAAACTTCGAAAAAGCGCTGGAAGACACAAAAGTAGACATGATAAATGAAAGGCATCCCTTGTTTTTAGATAGGGCAAGTTAACATCACAAAGATATTAGGACGGCTAAATATAACGATGTGATACTCTGCATTAGATCTGGATCAGGAAAAAAAGGGGAGAAAGAAATTGTAAAGGACCTTATTGGGACAATTGGGCTAAGTTGGAATATGGATTGTGAATTAGACAATAGTTTGTGTCAATGTTGAATTTCTGGATTTTGATAAATGTAGTGAGGTTATGTAAGAGAATACTCTTGTTTTTAGGAAATACATATTGAAAAGTATTTCTGGGAAAAGAAATATATATACTTTGAATTTAGTAGTTGTTCGAATTAATCCTAAAGAAATAATTAAACCTGTTAAGTGAAAATACTGAATTGTTCTTGCTATGAAAAGTTGCTATGAATTTTAGGAAAAAAATTGAAACAAACTAATATCTGTTAATAAGGGGTTGGTTAAATAAATTAGGACACATTCCTAAATAGGAAAATGCTATGATGTTGTAGGTCTATATTTATGGAATGAGATGTTTCTAGTTGTATTAGTGAAGTTTTTTTTGCAAGAAACAGAGGTCCACTTAGGCTACCTTCCGTAGCTAGGGTGTGTTGTAGAAGCAAAAGAATAGTTGAGAAATCCCTAGGAAGGGAGAAAGAACTCTGAGAATCTCAAGCCTGGAGTTCAAAGACCAGTTTTCTTTCTAGGGCACTGTTATTAAAGTGACTCAACCCTAGGACCTATACTTTCTTGATTCAGGGTTTAAGTCCCCCCAAAAGTATCTGATTAGCCTAGATCCTCTAAGGGTACATTTCCATAGCAATGAAGCATGGGTGGGCGCCTGTGGATTAGGCCCATTCCTAGACAAGAGGAAATTGGTTTTTGTGAAAGAAGCAGCTATCTACGTGGTTATGTACTTAAGAAGTATTTTGTAAAAATTTTTTTAAAGCAGAATACAAGATACTGTATACAGTATGATCCTGTTTTGTAGAAATACAGAATGTGTTTTGAAGTGGTGGTGGTGAATCAAGGGTTCTGTCTGGATGTGTTTATTTGCCATTCCTATTAGACATTCATATAGAGAGCTGAATTCTTTTGTGCCCAAAGTGGCAAACAAGTAACATCTGCCCTTATGTTTTTCTAGATCAAAATCAATCCTCTGTTCCTGTGGCATAGAACTGAGGGGGTCTCAACCAAGTTTTCTTTCAGACAGTTAAGCGAATCCTAAGCTTCTTTTTTTTGAAAAATAATGAGTGTTCTCCAGGCACCTACACAGCACTCATTTCATTTGGAGGCGGGATTCCCTGCCCAGCACAGACGCATGTTAGTCTCCATGTTCTCTCCCTACCCCCACATCTCTGTCTACTTTTTGTCTGGTATTTTAAGCAGTCACACAGTCATTCTGGTCTTTATTTTTCTCCTCTGTAAAATTATCCTTGGCTTCTTTCCTTTCTGTTTTTTTTTAATTTTTATGTTCTAAATCAAATGGTAAATAAAAATCACCTAAACACCCTTTTACCTTTTGTAACAATTGAGGCTACAATAGTTCAGCCCACAGTGGCTAACACTAGAAGAGCCAAGAGCTACTAAATATAAATGTTTAATTTTTCAGATATCCACACAGAAGCAGTTCAAGCTGCCCTGGCAAAGCATAAAGAGCAGAAGATGGCTTTGCCCATGCCAACCAAAAGACGATCCACATTTGTCCAGTCTCCTGCCGATGCCTGCACGCCTCCTGGTAGGTTTATCGGAACTTTGTCTCTCTGACAGTTTATTACCTTGATGTTCCCTGAAGTAAGTTCTGCTTTCTCTACTCTGAGGTAAGAACCAGAACTTTCTTTCCTGTCATTTTGTAAACAACACACAAAAAGGAATCTTAAGAGTAAAAACTATTGAAGTTTTTTTTCTTTTGAATTTCTAGCATTTCTTTGCTGTAATCCCCAAACTCATGTAGTTATAAATAAATACCAGCCCAAATTTGGCCACAACCTTCCTCTGTTTAAGTAGCTATTTTCATTGTCACCCAAATTATGACCTGTAGTTATATATGTAACTCATTTGTACCCCTAAACTGGAATCTTCATCTTTGTAGCAAGCATAGGTTTAGGGCCAATTTTTTGTCAATAAAGATGTTGAGTGGCCAGGCTGGGTGATTCCCTCCTGTAATCCCAGGACCCTGGGAGGCCGAGGCAGGGGTATCATTTGAGCTCAGAGTTCCTGTTATTCAGGACCAGCCTGAGTAACAGCAACACCCCATCTCTACTTGAAAAATAGAAAAATTAGCTGGGCATTGTAGTGGGAACCTATAGTCCCAGCTAATAGGGAGGCTGAGGCAGCAGGATCGCTGGAGCCATTGAGTTGGAGGTTGCTATGAGCTAGTCTTAGCAACAGAGTGAGATTCTGTCTCAAAACCAAAAAAACCCCACAGCATATGGTAGAGCGGTCATACAAAGTTATAATTGATTTGAGAAATATGTGGTATTTTAGCTGGGCGTGGTGGCTCACGCCTGTAATCCTAGCACTCTGGGAGGCTGACACAGGAGGATTGCTTGAGCTCAGGAGTTCAAGTCTTGTCTGAGCAAGAGCAAGACCCTGTCTCTACCAAAAATTAAAAAAAAAAAACACCAGCCAGGTGTTGTGGCAGGCACCTGTAGTCCTAGCTACTCAGGAGGCTGAGGCAGCAGGATCCCTGGAGCCCAGGGTTCTGATGTGGTAATGAGCTATGATGATGCCGTGGCACTCTACCCAGGGCACAGAGTAAGACTGTCTCAACAACAACAACAACAACAAAATTAGATACATACAGTATTTTGTGGACACTTTAACGTATTTTTAAGAATCCACTTTTTTTTTTTTTTTTTTAGAATCCACTTTTAATAATGGAGTCATGAGATCAGTGGAAACTAGGTATCTTCATTCCATCCCTATTGACTAGACTTGGAATCCATACTCCTCCTAAAGTAAATTTTACTTCATATTTCAGGAATAACCGGAAACAACCATTTTAAAGGATGTCTGTAAAAACCTTTAAAAAACCCTTTTTTACATCAAATTCCAGACAAGATCTCGATATAGGCCTCTGAGACTAAACACAGTAAATCTGTTTCAGAGCCTCAATATATTATCTGTCTCTCTGCTATAATGGTACTGGCAATGAAATTTTGGGGAAAACATTTCTTCATACGTTTTTGGTCTAAACTACTTACCATGTCTTTGGAGTGATTCCTAGGAAGGTTGCATTGTTGCAGTTGACTTTTATTGACTGCTGTCACATTGTGAAGCTATTCGTGCTGATCCCATTCACTGATGATCCAGGTTCATACGAATAGTTTTCTCTAGGTTTTGTCTAGCTTCTCAGAGCATTTGGGTATGCTGTGGGCTCATTAACTGTGTGTGCTTTTTCCCTTCACATCTGTGGTGTCAATATGTTTGAAAGAGAAATAGCTCTGTGGCTTCAAGTGTTTGTCAGAATGTAACACAGGATACCCTAGCATATCATCGCACTAAGACCTTTTGCGTCTGTAATGGTACATACTTCAAACCTACTCATTCAAAATCCTGGATGGTTTCCCTTCTGCATCAGTACAGCACAAGTTGGGTGCTCGTGGACAAAGGGTGCTCTCAGTTGGCATTGTTGGCAGTCCCATATTCCTTGTTGGCAGATTCTGCTGCACTGTGGCTAAGGGTTCAATTGCAATAAATGGCAAAGGGTAGGGAGCAATGTGATACATAGTTCTGAGAAACAATCCTCTCCAAAGCCTCTGCAATTCCAGAGAAATGTAGCTTGAGAGTAAATAGGCTGCTCTCATGGCTTCGTGTTAAATGTGAGTGCAGCAAAGGATCTTGAGAATGCTTAGGAGTGGAAACCTTTTTTAATCCCCTTTTGCCAAAAGTCATTGCCCGAGGGGAATTTTCTAACTCTAGAAACAAGCTGTTCCTTGCTGAACGCAACTATAGTCCTTCGGAATTCACTATGTCTCTGTATTTCTAAACACTGATGTTCTCCTCTGCAGTCTTGAAGATGTGGGGTAATGTTCTTGATCACCTTACGTGTTTTAATATTTTCATGAGTACGAAGATTAGATCCTCTTGCCTAAGACCTGTGTTTAGCAAAGCAGAATAATAAAAAGGTTCTCTGTCCATTTATCTCCTGTTTGGGGATCTCTGAATATTTTTGGAGAATCATTCACGAGCTGTTAGGTATATCTGTGCTGTCAAGTAAAAGTAAACATTGAGGGCACCCTTTATAATATCTTCTCACACAGCTGCCACCTGGAGTAGACCTTGATGCCTCCTTCAACAGTTATACACAGGCATCCTCAAACTATGGCTCGCAGGCCACATATAGCCCACCTAGGATATTTATCCAGCCTGCTGGGTGTTTTTGCCACGGCTGCCTGTCCTGCTTAGCAGCTGACTTGTCGGGCCTGCAGTCTGGCCCTCCAACGATCTGAAGGACAGTGAACTGGCTCCCTGTTTAAAGTACTTTGCTCTGGTGAAGAACTGTATCCTGAGGCTAGATTTTATCTCGTATTATCTACTCTGATAGCCCCAGATATGCTGATGTTTAGAAGAATACTGAGGCTGTATTTAAGGGATGGGGAAGAGGAAGAGGACTGATATTAATTAATGCTTGTTACAGGCTGTTTTTGAAAAATCAGCTTCTGACCAACTATAATGGGGATGTTAAAAAGTTGTGCCACTTTTGTAGGAAAAATTAAGCTGATGTTTCACAATATATTAGTATGTCTCCTTTGTACACTGTCAGAGATGTCATACCACACATCACAAAGCACATTTCAAATCAGGGCCCTCATTCTGCACGTGCTGTCCTGTGTGCACATAGTTTATGGAATAACTTCTAGAGTTTCCTAGCCAGTTGGCTTCTTTGAAAGACACTCATCATGTAACTGAATTGGGTGGTGCCTGAGGCTCAGTGAGTAGGGCACCGGCCCCATGCCAAGGGTGGCGTGTTCAAACCCAGCCCTGGTCAAACTGCAACAAAAAAATAGCCAGGCATTATGGCAGACGCCTGTAGTGCCAGCTACTCGGGAGGCTGAGGCAAGAGAATCGCCTAAGCCCAGGAGTTGGAGGTTGCTGTGAGCTGTGATGTCACGGCACTCTACCGAGGGTGATAAAGTGAGACTCTGTCTCTACAAAATAAATAAATAAATAAATAACTGTTTGAATTACTGCACTAATGAGAATTTAAAGCTACTTTTGGAGGGATTAATAAAAGGACATTAAGGAGTAAAATATGTCATAAATCTTTGCTTATAGTATCATAAGTCTGTAAAATATGGTAAGTAGTTGGCATGGGAAATAATTTGTCTTTTCATAAGTCAAGTCTCAAATAATAAGGTGTCAATCATATTTGCATGTTGGTATATAACTCATTTCTCTCTCATGGATTGGAAAATTTAAGTTCTCTAAACTGGTAGCAATCTATGGTTCTTTCAGGGCCTGTGGCCTTTTCAGTCTTTTAGACTGCTTGAATAACTGCCATCCAGTTCCCTTTATGTGCTGAAATCATTACTAATGTCATGAGGCAATTACCTCAGCTCTTTCTTTGTAGGGGTTCTTTGTGTAACACTATTACTCATTCATACGGAAAAACACAATGCAAAAACTACAGCATATATTTTTCCCTCTAAGCTTTTTCTGCACCCTTGTGGACTTACCCTTTGCTACATTCTGAGGGTGCACAGATGACCAAATAGACCGCATAATGACCCTAAAGCACAATAAGCTATTTCAGTGGCTTGGGTAGAATGAAGCTTAAATTTAGATGTCTGTCTCATACAGAGAGAGCCCTGCTCAAGAGTGGCTGTAGTAATTGATACGACCTGAAGACAGGGAGAAATTTACCTCTTTTTATTTCTATATATGAAAATAATGCCCACGAACAAATGAGGATATTATTATACTTTTAACATACTTGAACAATGCTTTATGGAATTATCCTTCATTGCAGTACGTAGAAGACTTTCACATGCCGGTGGCTCCTTCCTCATGTGTTCATCATGAGTACACCATAAAGCAGGAGGAACAGATTTCTTTAGAGATGAGGAATAAACAGGTTCATAGTCACTAAGTGATTTGCTCTAAGTCAAACAGCAGTTAGGTATCAGGCTCAAAAGTCTTCTTGGCGTGTTCATTATTCTACTTAAATGTCTTGTTTAGGAAATCCTCTTTACCTAATAGATAGTCATATATACATGGTACTGGAATGGATATTTGTCCAAACAAATAGCTCTATTGCCCTCTGAGTGCTTATAGCCCCAAACAGGTATCAGTCAGTTATTTTGGACTTAGAAGAGAATACCTGCTAAATTACCAATTTAGGGAGTTTTTTCTAAATATTCTAATTTTATTCAAAATCACAAAATCGAAAGAGTTAATATATGAGTTATATAAATCAAATCTTAATATATGTGCTCTAATCGATTGATAGATTTGGATCATTTTAATAACTTGGTTTTGTTATTGGTATGGGTTATCCCAAGACAGGACTGTATCCCACTGAGAAAGATCCAGTGAATCTGAGCTAAGAAGTAAAAACACTTGTGGAAATAATTTACCATGAGTGAGAGTCAAAGGAAAACAACGAAGAGCAGAATTAAAACCCCTAAGATGTGACTTGCTCAACAGCTATTGGTGGCAGAGCTAAGGTCTAAGTCTGGAGCAGTCTGACTTTAAAAGCCCAGTCCTTAAAGCGTTTGGCATATTGCCTCTCAT